TCATCAGCCTTCCTGTAATAGGCCTGTGGGGGCCGGGGCCTGGAGATGGTCTTTCCCTGCGTATTGAGGTGCCCTGTGAAGCCAGGAGGAGAGACCTCATGTGGGTCATAGAGAAGTGGGGGTGAAAACCAGAAGGGGATGGGGTGAGTGCTGAGCTGAAGGACTGGGCTTTAAATGGAGGTGGAGATGACGAGACCACACCCTTAACCTTGAAGTCTTCCACCCGAAAACCTGACGTGTGGGGAGCTGGCAGCTTCCGGGAGGCTGAGTGCTTTTAGTGACTGGGAAAGGGCCAAAGGGACAGCCCCGCTTCCCCTCCTGCAAGTCACCGGCCAGGGCCAGGGCCAGGCCGCTGCGTCATCCCTGGAAAGCAGGAAGCCAGAGTGCCCTGTCTCCACCAGGTGGGAGGTGAGGGAGAACATTTACTCTCATTGTCCAGAGTGAAGGCTTCATTCTGCAAAATGGCCAAAGCAATCAGCAAGTGATGGAGTAGCTCTTAAAAAGAAACCTGGCATTTAATTAACTTTTCAAAGTGCTGGTTCAGCAACCTCTGTGTTTTACATTTTGAATATTGAACAAGCATCTCTAATCAGATCTGAATTGCTCCGGACCTACCAGGGTGGGGAGCACCTGCCCAGCTTTTATGAACACGATGGGGTCTTGTCTGAATTTCGAGATAATCAACTCAGGATCAGTCGGGATGGGGCTTCAGTCTGTGAAGCCGTCTCCTTGCTCCCCTCCGCCTGGAGGTCAAGGCACAGTTCACCAACACTTTTTAGAAGAGAGCAGGCAACTTGGAAGGATAAGGCAGGAGGTTTCCATCTTGCTGCTTAGCAACTGGAGAGTTCAGCCAGCCATCTGAAGTAAGGCTTAGGGCAGTGATGCTCACACACGTGGTCGGGTCCCATTTCTAGAGATTCCTCCTCCAGAGGCCTGGGGTGAGGCCCAGCACATGGACACTGAAGAAACTTCCCGAGTTCGATTCTCTTGTGCCTCCCTGGTTAAGAGCTCCTGGTTTAAAGGATTCTCTCCAGCTTTTATTTCTCTAAGTGTGGGAAGTCAGGAATGGAGTGTCTGCACAGTAGATCCAAACAGCTGTCGGGGTGCCCTGTGGGGCATCTGAAAATCAGCCGTGCCTGCTGTTGAGAAGGCTCAGGCAGTGTGTTTGGAAGCTAGGGTGGACGTCGGGAGACAGGGATTCTGGTCTCAGCCTCCTCACTCACTGGCACTGTGGTTTGGGTGACGTGCACAACACAGTGCCCAGCGTCAGTAACGGTGCTGCTGAAACCTGCTCTACCTCGTTTCCAGCGCTCAGCTGAGCGAGTCTTTGTAGAGTATTGCGAAGTGCTCTCTCTGTGTGAGACAGTCTCACAGTATCATTGTAATTGTCATGCTCCCAAACCCTCTCGTAGCCACTTCTGGGGAAAGAGGCATGTCCCCTCCATAGGGCTGGACCGGGTCACAGTTTCCTCAGAAGTATGTCTGTAAGAGAGGACCCAGGACCTACAATTCTCTCCCTCAGCCTCCACAGTGTGTGGGAGGCAGGACTTCAGCCCCAAATCCTCTGGTGGGCGGTGGTAGACCAACTCTGTTTTCATTTTGTTTAACCTGTCACCACCATTTAAAAATACACTCTCCATCATGACTGGGTATGTGAGCATATAAAATTGAAAAAAATTTTTATGTAATACCTATCCTTATTGTGAGCAGTTCACTTTCTTTTATCCTCTCTGCTACTAAAAAGAGACCAGTGGTCCATAGGGCTGGACCGGGTCACAGTTTCCTCAGAAGTATGTCTGTAAGGAAGGGAGGACCCAGGACCTACAATTCTCTCCCTCAGCCTCCACAGTCTGTGGGAGGCAGGACTTCAGCCCCAAATCCTCTGGTGGGCAGTGGTGGACCAACTCTGTTTTCATTTTGTTTAACCTGTCACCACCATTTAAAAATACACTCTCCATCATGACGGGGTATGTGAGTATATAAAATTGAAAAAAATTTTTTATGTAATGCCTATCCTCTGCTATTAAAAAGAGACCAGTGATGATTTACTAACTTGATTTCATGAGTCACTAACAGGCCATGACCTGTAGTTTGAAAATCATTGTGCTAGATTCTGTGTCCTAGCACTGGACTCCGTGCCTTTGGGGACCAGGTAGGTAAAGCAAATCTGTGAAGTGTGGATTTATTTCAGAAAAGCACCTAAGTTATATTACTGAGGTACATATACCGGTTATTTGTATATTCATATTTCTGTGAAGATATTTACTCTCTGCCAAGTCTCCTAAAATATGCTTCCCTCTTAGTCTTCCTTTGCTTTCCCGTGTTTGATAGCTGCATAGCTGCATACTTCACTGGCCTCTTCATTCTGTAAGAGCCCTAGCAGTGCAGATTGGATGATGAAGAACCAGTACTGGACCCCGGGTTAGGGAGTGCTGGGAGCTCAGGGGCAGCCACACTCGGATGTAGGTTCCTGTGGAAAACACTGGAATGTAGGTCCAGTGTTGCCAGGCTTTGTATTTGAAGAATTTAGAAATTCGGATTTTTGTACAAAATCTCCCAATTTGGACAAGAAATTCATGTTAAAACATAACAAAACAAAACAAAATAAAAATAAAGAGCAGTGTGGTCCAGACCAAACTTATCTGCAAGCTAGATAAGGCCTGGAAGTAGCCAACTTCATCAAAGACAGAGTGTTCTGTACCATTTCCATCATAGCAGAGCAGAAGGTTCACACTGAACCTGTAGTTCGGGGGGAGGGAGGAGGGTGCAGGGGACACGAGAAAACACCACCTGAGGGCATCCCAGCTGACCTTCCTTGAGGGCTCCATTTTGATCTTGCTCCATCCCACGGGGTGAAATGAGATGCCGAAGGATTCTTGGCTCTCCCTAGAGTGAGAGAGAGCAAGATGTGGACTCAGCAGCAATTAAGCCACATATGAAATTCATCCCCTTTTTGGGTGTTGAGTGGATAAATGGCAGTTAATCAGCCTTCCCCCAAAGATTAGCTTTATCATTATTGTCTCCTTCAGACAAAATCACTGCTACTTTTGCCACCTCCCATTGCTTAGGAAGGACCGATGCAGTCATAATTCCTAAGGGTAATCAGAGATGGACATGTCTCTTATGTACAAACAAAGGCATTGCTGGCCTAGGCTACCTGGCCTTTTTAATCCCCTTATTCTCCGATCCTGTTTTCATTCAAGCCCTTCTACTGTTGGTGGCATATCAAGCCATTTGGACAGTGGGTTTATAGAGTTCAGCTTCACCGTGACAATTAGAGGTAGTGAGTTGGGAGCAGAGCCTTCTCTCCTCCACTTAGAGGCAGCTTTGGCGGCTGCCTCGGGCTCTACGTTAGGATTCTTTTTACTTAGAACAGCATTGGAAGCCTCCATCACCAGCAGCTCCATGGTGGCGCTGCCCTAGACATCCCTTTGCAGTCTACCTTGGGCCTCTTGCTGCCCTTTCTGTCCCACTCGTCCTCCTACCCCTGGTTCCTCAAAAAGCATAGAGTTTTAAGAGTAAAAAAACATAGTCTGGGAGATCCCTTCAGAGTTATTTCATCCTGTTCATCCAACCTGACCTACTTATCCTCTTCTCCTTCCCTGACTTCAGCCAAAATTCATTCCCTTCCTTCTGTCCTCCCTTCACAGTGCAGTTGGTATGGTCTAAATTTCATGGAAACTGATCTATTTAAACTTGGGCTTAATTTATGATTATATTGTTGTGGGAAATTATTTGCATTTTTCAGGAATTGCTGTTTGGTTCCAACATAGCTCTTACTGGTGAGGCTTTGTGGGCCAGCGCTGTCGAGGGCCATCTCATGCATCTTGCCTCCTGGCCATCATGTCATTGCCACTGCCCTTTGCCCCTGTCATCATGGCGATGATTTCTAACTTAAAAGAAGTCATAGCCCTGGTCGGTTTGGCTCAGTGGATAGAGCGTCGGCCTGTAGACTCAAGGGTCTCGGGTTCGATTCCAGTCAAGGGCATGTACCTTGGTTGCGGGCACATCCCCAGTGGGGGGTGTGCAGGAAGCAGCTGATCGATGTTTCTCTCTCATTGATGTTTCTAACTCTATATCCCTCTCCCTTCCTCTCTGTAAAGAATCAATAAAATATATATATTTTTAAAAGTCACAAAAAATAAAAACTCCATTATTGTGATGTCCAGGCATACAGAAAAGTAATCACCACGTATACCCATCACCCGACTTTAACAATAGTCAACATTTGCCAGTCTCATTCCGAAGACTTAATATTGGTGTTTCTCAGAGTGTCAGTAGTATCCTACTTGGGTTAGAATTACTGGAAATTTGTTTAAGATGCATATTCCTGGGCTGCCTACCTGCCAGACCAGCTGATCCAGACATCTCTGCTGCCAGGTCCAGCACGTCCAGCCGTCGGCATGTCTGTCAAGCTTCCGGGTGGTTCTCATGCACAGTCAAGTTTGAGAACCAGGGCCTTAGACAAGTGTGACAGGCTTCCTGCTCCCACAGAATATCTGAGGGCACTACTTGCCAGCATCACTCACAGGGCTTCTGGTCCTTCACATGGCGGATACAGAAAGACGGGCCCTGAGCCTGCAGCCTCCCTGCATGGCTAGCTCATCCCTTTCCGTTCGTGGGAAGCTGCCCATGTTAACACAACAGCTCCAACTGGGACCCAAGGCCTCAGTCCTAAAAAGTGCTCAATAAATTGGTCAGTACTTGTTGAAAGAAAGGAGAACGTCATATCATCTATACTCATTTGACTTTTGAGCTCACTCAGCCTGCATTTAAACTCAGTCATTTAATTTGGAGACGTGCTGAAGTAAGGTTATAAGAAGGCATTGCAGGGTCTATAGTGCCCTCATGCTGAGTATGAGCCTTGGTCTGTGAAGAGGAATCCAGACAAATAAAGCAGCTGGGATATTTGCACCCACTTTTTAAACCCCCTGTCCAACATACCCTGCCAATGCATGAGACTAGCGGGTTCTCATAACCCTTCTCTTTCTTTTTTCCAGGTCGGGAAGGAAGGCTTTTGAAGAAGTGGAAGAGTATGTTTGCAGTCTTCTTATGGCATCCTATGGGGATCTTTGTCGACAGTGCAGTCTTTGTTGAGCAGCATTAAAAAAATAGGCTAGGCAGTGTGAATCTGGCTGTGGTCTGGGCTGGAGTCATGCTTCCTGAATTAAGGGTTTAATTCTTCCACTGAAGGCCTGGGCTTTGGCATTGTTAGCCAGTCACACCTCCCACCCTGCGGTTTTTAGAATTACATGTCTAGGTATCAGAGTACTGACCCATGGGCAGAGGCAGTGCCAGTTTATAAGCCTTGCCTTCTCCTAAGACTTACATTTTTTAAAAGTTTTCAGGTGAAGATGGAGTGTAAAGTCAGGGCCATCAAATTTCCCACCTCAGAGGCAGGAGAGCATTCATATCATAGTCTGTGTGACGCTACCCCATGCAATGATGCAGTACCAGCTTGGGCAGCCATACATGGCAGACCCAGGTGCCCAGTTAGGTTTGAGCAAGTTGGAGGAGAGTGGAATCAGAGATCTTTTCATCTAGGAGAAAGAATGGATACAACACAAATTGGGGTTGTTTCTTTCTGTGCCTGAAACTCACTTTCTACTTTCCTTCCTTTTTGGGCGCAGTCATCGCCTCAGACCGAAGAGCCTGGATGGATCAGATGACGGAGGAGGTAAGACGTTCTTGGAGGAAGTCTGAAGGGCTTCAGAGATGTCCCAGAGCCCCCGAGGCATGTCCTACACTGCAGCTCAGGCACCCGTTGCTCTAAGTGCTACTGCCTCTGCCAGGAGTACCTCTCCCCCTTCTTTTTTTTTTTAATATATATTTTTTATTGATTCCAGAGAGGAAGGGAGAGGGAGAGAGAGATAGAAACATCAATGATGAGAGAGAATCATTGATCGGCTGCCTCCTGCATGCTCCCCACTGG